CTGATGAGATGTCCGACTAGAATTATATCAGAATTATATCCGATATCTAAAATATATTAAACGGTATCTGATATCTAAAATACATTAAATGATATCCGATATATAAAATATATTAAACGATATCCGATATCTAAAATATAATAAATTATATCCGATATATGAAATATATTAAACGGTATTTGATATCTAAAATAAATTAAATGATATCCGACATCTAAAATATGTGAAACGATATCCGATAACTAAAATATAGTAAATAATATTTAATAAAAAGGTTCGCATGATTCTATCCCCGTGGAATGCTGGCTGCGGTCTCAGCTCGGAATAAACGGACTCCGAGGATCGGATCCGATCGTGAGTGTGCGGGGTTCAGAACATTGACCCAGAGTTACACTTTTCCCCGTGCTGGATGCACGTGGTGCGACCGGCTTGTGCATCATAGGTCGAGTGCGCACCACGGTATCGGGCTGTCCCTTCATAACGGTAGATGCATAGTTACCTGTGGTAGACGCCCGTTTTGCGGGACTGGATCCCGACTGGATCTTGCTTAGAATGTACGGGAACGGTGAATCGAGATTGGGTGAAGGTAAAACCGAGGCACGTAAAATGCAACCGCGCTTCCGTTCGGTCGTTACGGTTGCATATATATATTTACTTGTTACAGAGGAATTCGCGAGGTTCGTGATGCAATCCCATTATTAAGCACGCGTGGCATCCGCGGACCTCGAAAATATGTGGGAAACGATCATGTTGATGCGAATTTAACGAGCATACCGCGAATATTTCTGCAAAAGAAGAATACAACCGTTGCACGAGAAAATCAACCAACGTTGGATTAAAACTTTGTTCGTCCGTTAATCCGAAGGCTCCGTTTTCGATCCATTTCAATCCTCGCGACGTTCTCGCAAATGCACAGAATCCACGATCTATTAACGACACTTGTACTTTAGGTTCAGCGTGGGTTGCTTTCTACTTTAATTTCTCACCGGCGGCTGCTTTCTATTTTATTCTCGCTATAAGTAACTTTCAATTAACACCGTAAAATCGGGTCTTCGTTCTTGCAGCCATCGTGAAGTATCGGCGCGAACTCGATGGGGCTCGCGTGGAAACTCGTGGCGTAAACATCGTTGCACAATATATGTATATCTCGATCGAGTATTGCGTTCGTTGCTCGCGAAGCGACGACGCGGTTCCAAGAAAACGCATCGTGTTTTTCTTTCTCGGCATTAATTGCAACGACGCGGCAGAATATATTTCGCCGTTAATGTCACATTGTTAATAACGCGGCAAGTGCGAATATGCGTCACTAATTTCCGCGGAGGTTTGCAGCGTCGACCATAAAATATGAGATTGCTGTCTCGAGGTGCACGCGATACGGTAAATGAAAAAAAGGCAAAGAATAGAAAACATATACGCTATTTTACAATCGTTAATGTATCGCGTTCGCCGAGTCGCGGCGCTGCCGCCGTAAAAAAGTGCAAGCATCACTTTTCACTTGGTTCGTTGCGACAGCAAAAAAAGGTCGTCGTTCACCGAGGAAGTGATCAAAGATTTTTCAACGAGAGCTCCGGCCGAGGATTATAGTAAGCAAGATTTCTCGGAAGCGGTCCGTTCGGAGTCGCACGGGAAAATATCAGCTTCCGGCTCGCGAGCCGCCTCGCCTCGGAAAAGAAAAGCTAACAATTGGCGCCGCGTAATGCGATTTCTTCGGCCGAGCACTCGGCTCTCGTGCCGCGGCGCGATTTAGTCGAAGCGAGAAGAACCGTTTATTCGCTCGAATCAGTGATAACCGAGAGCAAGGCCTGCCGTGTCCGCGATCACTTTCTCGCATCTGAATCCAATTAATTTTAACGATGCTATGCGTGCATACATTATACCGCGGGCTTTCACAGTTCATTTTATTTTATTGTTTTCATTATTTCGCGAGCTTGCCGGACCCGCGCCGTTAGCCGGCTACGCGCTAATGAAACAACGATTCGGAACGCTCGCGATCGCGGGATTCGTCCGCGGACGCTTAAATTTCGTCGCGAACCTTTCGCGTACGAGGAAACGTCCGCGTCGTTCGGGTCGATAACAGTTTTATCCCGATTTTTTTACACCACCGGTTTCCGTTAGCCGTTCCCGAAAATAGGGATCTGCGACGCGTCGATGCACCGCGATGCATCGATCGCGAAACGGAATGCATCGATGCGCCGATTTTGTTCGGGAACGCATATTTTTCTTGACAGCTGCAAATTATTGTCCCGCGAATTAAATGCGGACTTTAATTTCAGGCAATTGTTACGACCTTTTAAATAACGTTTCGGCGGAGATGATGTTAGGATGCTAGAAGAATTTATACCGCGAAGCGTTTACGGTGTACCACATTAGTCGAGACATATTTATCGCAGTCGTTTATTATAAACGACGAAACTTCCTCGTTGCATTTCACCGTGAAATTATTTGCCGGAATCTGATGGACGAGGTACAGTAATATGTCTCTCTAATTGACGCTCGGATTGTCCCAGAAAAATGGACAATTTGGGAAGAGGAGATACGATTATACGAGCCTTGCAGCTCGTTTTTATGGTTGTTGACTGTTCGTAATTATAAGAACGAACCGCAAGGCTCGGTTAATCGTATCTCCTTTTCCCAAATGATCCATTTCAGTGGACAATCCGAGCGTCAGTAAGGGAGACATTACTGTAAGCTCGATAAAGAGCGCGGGAGAAGCCAAGATCAATTAAATCAATCATCCGGCAGCTGTCAGCGAACTTGATCGTTCAATTATTAATGCGGTGGGAAGGAAACCTCGACTTCCTATTACAGAGTGCCGTTTAAATTGCGCCCGATTGGATAGATACTGTTATAAGCTCGTTGACATAGCAGCCGGTAGGAAAACATTGTTGTGGATTCGTGCCGCGGCCGCGCAATAATGTCCATCGAAGGCGTCGCGGGGGCCGCGTCGAATGACAAATAGCCGGGACCACCGGCATGATCGATATTTAGCATAACGCCGAGCCCCATGGAATCGCTGATCACCCGAGCCCTGCCCCCGTGAAACCAGCTACCGCCGGTTTTTCACCGATCCGACGCGGCGGCGTCGTCGAACTCTCGTAACCCGTCGATTCCGCTCGCCGGCGGATTCAGAGCGACGCGGACAGCCGGGAAATCGCGTCAAATTACTTAGGATATTAATCAATCCACGCATCCGGAGCTTGAATTTAACCGTGTACGTGTCGTTAAAACGTCATGCGCATAACCGGGAATTAGTAATATCGATCGAACGACTTAAACGTCCACCGTTGAGATTAATCGGATTTGCGTATATCTTTATGCGAGATAAAAGTTCTGCGGCTCGATTTCAAGAAACAGAGAAAAAATAAGCGTTCGTTTTCACTCTGGAGATTTTTAATCGATTCGGAACGACACTGTAGAATTCCTCCTCTTGCATTTAATGCGCAGCATTCGATGAAGTGCATGCATAAACACGTGCAGTTCGATGCGTTCTACTTGAGAATTTAATACAGCAATATAGCGATATTAATTTAATATAGCAATATCTAATTATTTAATATAGCAATAATCTAAATACATAACGAAACAATGACGAACCTATTAAAAAAAAATCTAACGCTGATTTGAATCAAATTTTATAGAAATTTCTGTCGCACGTATTTCGATCGAACCGCTGCGAATCGAAGCGCGTCGTTCGCGCGCCAATTTGCATCGTTTCTGCAAAGTGCTTTTGAAAATCGGCACAAGCCACGGCACGGAAAATTGAGCAACGAGCGAGCACGCGGCCGGCTGTAACATTCTGAAATAGGTGACGTTCTCGTTCGGGATAATCGTTGCCGCCATAACGACCCATAGGAATTCCTCGGAGATTGAGCTCCCTAGCAAAGATATCGTTTCTCTGTTGCGAGTTCGCGCGATCATTATACCTGATCGATCGTCGAAAGTGAAAGGGTCTCGTATAGACCGGGCAAAAAATGGGGTATTTATCGCGAGAAGAAATTGCACACAACGTTCGCGAGCAGCTGGAGCGGCGAAGGCCTCGGCGAATTACCCTCTTATGGGCTCTCCGCGCGACAACGTTATTACGTAAATCATTACGGTTCCAGATTCGCGAAGCCCTTTCCTAGCGATGACAGACAAACATATCGGAACGTTGAACTTTGAGCTCGCCTCGTCAGAATGGACTCCGTTTAACAAGTCGTGTCGAGGATTCGATTGAGAAATCGGCGAGCCGCGCGACGCCGTAACGAATCGAGCTGTCGGAACACGGAAAACGCTGATACTTTCGCGAATCGAGCGCCACGTGGCCGACGAAAATCCGAGCCGAAACCAGAGGACGTCTTTCGCGGACACTTCCTAATATTTCTTATCGATTCTTACGAATTTCGCGGGCTCGGAAAGCTTTCCGAGAGCGGAGCGTCGCTCGTCGATCATCGCCGGAAATTAGCACCGACAATCGACGGATCCGAAACTTTTTGGAATTTTCCAGTTTTATAAGCTGAAAGTCTAGGCTGAAGACTGAAAGAATTTTCCAGTTTTATAAGTTGAAAGTCTAGGCTGAAGACTGAAAGAATTTTCCAGTTTTATAAATTGAAAGTCTAGGCTGAAGACTAAAAGAATTTTCCAGTTTTATAAATTGAAAGTCTAGGCTGAAGACTAAAAGAATTTTCCAGTTTTATAAATTGAAAGTCTAGGCTGAAGACTAAATTCAAATTCGAGTAACATCGAGCAAGTTTGGATAAAAATTCAGAACGCGAAAGTGTGGAAGAAAACGATAAAGATCAAATGAATTTGGAACCTTCGAGTCGTTTGAAATTGAAAGTCTAGGATCTAGTGATCAAGCGGTTAGTGAATTCGAATATTTCAGGGTCGATGATCGTCGAGATCAATGAGTCGGGATATGATAAGTTCGGAACAGGAAGTTTTGGAATCGGGAAAATTTGAAACTGGAGTGCGCTGTTAAGTCGCGCGTAAACCAAACTTGTTTCGTGTGCCTGTCACAGGTTGTCGGCGATCAACGTTCCGTAAAATGGTGTTGCAACACGCGATCGTAGTCAGGGATGCTGTGAAAATATACGGGAATTCGGCGCCGATTCTGGACAATCTGAACCTGTGTGTTCCAAAAGGGTGTATGTGAGTAACATTTGCCAATACTATTAATTATCGCCTAATTAACAGTTCAACGGAACAAATTTCACTGCCGGATTGCAACTTACGCAGACGCGTCCATTAAAAAGGTGATCCTGTCATCTGCACGCGTACCTCAATGTTAATTATTGACCGTAATGACATTATTACATTAACAGTTTTTCCACGATTCCATTAGCAACTCGAACATCCATATTCATTCCTTAGAAGATGCGGTGACTCTTATCAATATTCGAACACCTTCAAATACGCGTTAAACTCGCTTAGAACTGGTCTAAACGACTTCAACTTTTTTAGATGATGCGCGGATCGAATTTTGCTACTGTTTAGAATAAGAAAAGATAAAAGAGTTAAAAAACGAGAGTTTCTTATATTAGTTCCTGTATCATCTGAAAAACAAATTCAAATCGTTTAGTCCAGTTTTAAAAAAGGTATTTCGTTTGAAAAGGTGCCCGAATGTTAATGAAACGTCACTCTATATTATTGTGCTACGTTAACTTAGCACATCATTGAAAAAGGCACAGATCCATTTTAATTTTAATGCTGATTTAATTTTTAGTACTCGCCGCGTA